TGAACCCGGGAGTCGGAGGTTGCCATGAGCCGAGATCACACCACTGCACTCCAGCCTGGGCAACATGAGACTCCATCTCAAAAACAAACAAACATAGATATCAAAGCAAGTATGCCACATGGATGCTGTATTAGGTTTTGTGAATGAAATTACAAATCTGTATCTTCCAACATTTTTAAAATTCACTTTTATTTTGATCTTATTAGGTTGATCCCATCAGTTTGTGAGGTTTTTTTCTAACGAAAATGTCAATAGTCATTTAAAATAAAGAAACTAATTTTTGAAAGTTATGCAATATGCTTATCTTTCAAAAAATATAATTTTGCTTCAACTATTTAAGAGTATTGTCAAAATAAAAGCAGTATATTTGTATAACACTTCAGCCTGCTACTAAAATTATTCTCATTAAAGATCAAAGATCTTATCAAATTCTTTCACCAATTTTTTTTTTTTTTTTTTGAGACGGAGACTCGCTGTCACCCAGGCTGGAGTGCAGTGGCACGATCTCAGCTCACTGCAAGCTCCGCCTCCTGGGTTTACGCCATTCTCCTGCCTCAGCCTCCCGAGTAGCTGGAACTACAGGTGCCCGCCACCTCGCCCAGCTAGTTTTTTGTATTTTTTAGTAGAGACGGGGTTTCACGGTGTTAGCCAGGATGGTCTCGATCTCCTGACCTCGTGATCAGCCCGTCTCGGCCTCCCAAAGTGCTGGGATTACAGGCTTGAGCCACCGTGTCCAGCCCATCATCAATCTTTTATTCCTTAGCCTCTCTGCACCTGGAACGCAGTTAGGGACTATGTTTTAATTTTTTTCTCTCCTCTGTATATGCCATAGTACCTGGAACTTAGAAAATGCTCCACAAACACTTTTTGAGTAAAGAGCTAGATCTCTAGACAAGTGAATGAATGAATGCTACCTACTTCTTGAAATTTCTTTCCTAGGTTTGGTAACACTACACTACATTGGCTCCTCTCAAACCATACCTCTAACTCCTCTAGTCTCTTCTTCCTTCTTCCAAATCCTAATTTAGGGTTGTAAGACGAAGCATTTATTCAATTAAATATTAACTACCTCACTATATCCTTCAGGGTTCACAGATTCTAACTCTAACTTTAGCCTCGTATCCCTGGCTGTAAAGCCAGCCACTGATACCCTCTGTCTTCCCAGCACCTCAGCATGGCTCCTGTGGGCATCTAACTCCAGATATCTACAATGAAACACTATGTTTCCAGCCCCACCGAAAAGATGTTTCTTCCCAAATTCCTTTTTCATCCTGGTTCTCCCACCTACATTTTTTAAAGTTTGGAATCATTTAAACAAATCCTTTTCCCTCACTCTTCATCAAAAATGTCACCATCTTTTCCTCTTATTTAGGAAAGGACTAGAGCAGTTTTTACCTCTGTTCTGAATCTCTCAGGAACAGAATAAAATCCAAATGGTAGATATATAAATACATACATGTCTATAAACATTTTTTTACACCAGAAACTAGTCTCTGTAATAATCTCAGAAACTTGTTTTCCCAAATGATTTGTTAGAAATTTATCAGCATGTTGGAAAGATTAACCTCCAGGCAATTCTAAAGCATTCAGATAAGCCTAAACATTCTTTTCCATATTTACTGATTACAAAAGAAAATAATGGATTTCAAGTAACACAGGGCTTAAACATTCAAATTTCATGAATGTATCACACAATGAGACCATGATTCAAATGAGACAATTTGTAACTAGAAAAGCAAGCCGATGTGGGTGGATTGCTTGAGTTCAGGAGTTTGAGACCAGCCTGGGCAACACAGCAAAACCTCATCTCTACAAAAAATTAAAATTAAAATTAAAAAATAGCCAGGTGTGGTTGTAGGTGCCTGTGGTCCCACCTACTTGGGAGGCTGAGATGGGAGGATGGCTTGAGCCCAGGAGGCAGAGGTTGCAGTAGGTCAAGATCATGCCACTGCACTCCAGCCTGGTCAACAGAGCCAGACCCCGTCTGAAAAAAAAAAAAAAAGGAAGAAAGAAAAGAAAGCCTTTGGAATCATATTATCTAAGGTTCAAATTCTACTTCAGCCAATTGTGCTTTTAAGCAATTACTTAACCGCCCTGAGCTGTGTTTCCTCTACTATAAAACTGGGATTTTTGACCTAGTTGTTACAAGGATAAAAGATATTATATGAACAAATCACAGAGTCGGGCTTGGTGGCTCATGCCTGTAATTCCCAGCACTTTGGGAGGCCAAAGCAGGCGGATCACGAGGTCAAAAGATCGAGGTGGCCAACATGGTGAAACCCCCTCTCTACTAAAATACAAAAATTTTAGCCAGGGGTAGTGGCGCACACCTGTAGTCCCAGCTACTTGGGAGGCTGAGGCAAGGGAATCACTCGAACCCAGGAGATGGAGGTTGCAGTGAGCCGAGATCGCGCCACTGCACTCCAGCCTGGCAACAGAGCGAGACTCCATCTCAGAAAAAAAGAAAAGCAAAGGAAAATCACGCAAGGCATATAAGAGTTCAATAAAAACTATAGCAATTACCATAAAACCAACATCCTAGAGCCACTGAAAACATTTACGCAGAAGAAAAAACTAGGCATTAAAATAGAATGTGTTTAAAAAGCTGATACACAAAACAAATAAGACTAAAAGGTGAACTCCATATATACCCTAAAAATAAATAAAGTCTGTTGACTGGCTAAAAGAATGGTCAGAATTCTCTAGACTAGAACCTAGAGTTAGCTGGCTGCTTTCCAACCAACCAAAAGGTTTGCAGAGGTGGAGGGAGGGATGGGAGGGGTTAAAATCTTCAAAAGATTCAGCTTCAAACAGACTCAGTAGAGCATATTTCAAGTTCATAGAAGAGAAGCACGGAGAGAAGCTAAGCAGCAGCTCAAGTTCCCCTAGAGTGATAGTGAACTTCAGAGATGCTTCCCACCCCAAGGAGGGATTCTTTACCGGCACAAACATAATGCTACTCTATTGTTACACATTCAGCACCTATTGTGTCAAACATTGTACTAAGAACACAGAAACAGACAAGATGCAGTCTCTGCCAACACATTAAAAGGAAAAAACCAGGTAAGAAACATCAAAGCTTATGTATTACACAGTGAGTGTATAACAAGTGTACAACAGTAAGTACAGTAACAGCCTTCCTCTCAGCCTCTCCAATCTAAAATGTCAGTGTCATCCCTCCCACCTCCAACATCAATGTCTTCCCACTGCTCTAAGACAAACAGCAAACCTCACAATATGAGCTATAAGAGCCAGCATGGTCTGACTCCTGCCAACTTCTCCAGCACCATCTACTCTCTGCATCAGAGTCTCTGTAGGCTTTTTTCAGTTCTTCTAACCTGTCATTCCCTCTGGCCGCAGGACCTTTGCACACACTGTTCTCTCACATTCATCTCCTCCGTTTGTTAGAGAAGGTCACCTCATCCTTCAAAACTTGTCTCAATTTTCAATTCCAAAGGAAAACACTCCCTTACTGTAGGTAGTATAGTATGATTAAGAGCACAGGTTCCGGATTTCTAAATCCTGTTTGCCACTTATTGGCACTATAGCTTCAAGCGAGTCACATTAACACTTAGTGCCTCACTTTCATCTTCTGTAAATGGGGGACATATGACTGTTGTGAGATTGAATAAATTAGTTTAAGCAAAGCAACAGAACAGTATCCAGGACACAGAACTCAAAATCTTGGCTTGGTCAAATCCCTCTATTTTATTTTCTTACAGCACCAGGGCACCTCCCCTAATACCATTTTACACTTATTACACTCTCCCTACTAGAGTAAAATTTCTAAGAAAGCAGAAACCATATTCATTCCCCAGAAGTGGAAGACAGGAGATATTCAGTAAACATCTGTTGAAAAAAATAGCTACAAGGACAAAGCTGACGCCCAAGAGACCTGTCCAGTATACAAAGCCTCATGTACCTGACTCCAAAGCCCACACTTTCTACCATACTAAGTAAGCTGCCTCCTATGTAAATACATAAGTCTTACAGCCGCAATTGAAGTGGCCAACAAAGATGAACAGAATGATAAAGATTAAAGAACACTAAACTGTATGGGAACACAGAGATCAGTGAAAGTCCGCACGCTGAATACAAAACAAACATAGGCGCCACTCACTTCCATGTCGATAAGCTCTGGCTCTCATACTGCCCACCCAGGGCTCGGTTCCCTCCTCTTTAAAGAGTAGGATGGGGCAGGTTCGTCTCTAAAGTGTCTTCAAAGTCTAAACTTCAATGACTATAAATCAAGTTATGTGGCAATGTTTTAATAATTATTTTTTAAAAGGAGGTTTAACAAGCACACTGAACCAGCTGACAGATGGTTTTCAGGGGACCTTCGTTGTAAAGAATGTGTTCAAGTGCCTCAACAAACCTTATAAAGTAGGTTCAGTGGTCTGTGCCCCAGAATTAACGACAGACTCGATGTTGACGGGAAAGAGTTCAGAAGCACACACAAGCACTCCAACCTGTGAGTCAATCTGCCATCATGACAGCCTAGGTATACAGAACAGTCATGAAATGTGTTTAGAACAGTGCCAAAATAAGGCTCACCACTACATCGAAAAGGAAAGTTCACGAGATGCATTTGGTACACAGTAGACTGGGGTGTCATACAATTAAAACAGGCTTTCAAATGCAACGTAAAATCTATTAGCAGTCCTGATATGGTGTAGTACTTCAAAAGATAAGATCAACTCACAACCTTAACTCTACCTGAACAACAGTTCACAGTGTCCCTTCAAAAATGCTGGAAAGAGGTCAGAGAACACGGAAACTATAACGACACCTAAAAACCCACCCTGGAAAGCTTAAGACAAAGCCACTGCCGCGGGGCCCTGGAAGCGGACCTCGGGCAAGGCAGGAATATGCCTGCCCAAAGCCATCAGCCGCCTCGGAGGGCGTGCGGGCGCCCAACTGCCTCCGCCCTAGGCCTCTCTGCTCCGCAGGATCCCCGAGAGGAACAGCTGCAACAAGGGATGCCTCCTGAGCCCGCTGCCACGCGAACTGCGGGTGGGAGGAGAGAGAGGGGTGTAGCTGAGACGGAATCGGGGCGCGGGGCAGCCGGACCCAGCCAGCGCTCTGCTGGCGCCACCCACCCAGAGGCGGCACGGCTGGAAGCCCGGTGAAGCCGGGACCCGCGAGGGCCCCGTCGCTCCTCACCTTCAGGGTCCGCAGTGCCGCGCTCAACATCAGCTGCTGCGGCGGCCACCGCCCATGCCGTCCGGCAGCGACCAGCGCTGCTGTCCCGACCCACAGCCCCGCCATTGTTGTCCCCGCAGACCGCCTCTCCGTTGACCTCTCACCCAGCCGGAGAGGGGCGGAGAAGGGGAGCGCCCGGGCTTCGACAAATCACGAGCCAGAAATCCGATGCCCCACCCCCTAACTTGCGGGAAGGGGAGCGTGTGAGTGGTCGGCCAGATCCGCCGGATCCGGCAGCCTGGAGACGCGCTAGGACCCGGAAGGCTAGTGGGCTGGCGGCGCGTCAGGTCCCTAGCTGAGCTGGGGGCCACTGGCCAGAGCCGACCCCAGGAGTGAGAGAGGCAGGGACACGCGTGAGTTCCGGCGACCTGCAGCGGGCAAACCCCGTACCTTCCCAGCATCCGCTCAGCAACCCACGTGCATCCAGGCCGGTTAATGTCAGTGAGTCACCTCCGCGCCTTGGCCACCCTGGGGTCCCGAGAATCCGAAGTTCCAGACAAATGCCCAAACTACATTCCTGCCTGTTTGAAAGCGTAAATTGCAAAGCACAAATCCAGGTAAGGTTTTGAACGACTGTGATAACACATGAAAAGTTCTAGGTCTGGAAATCAGAGATCCGAGGTCAAGTCCTACCTCTGCCACTTAGTATCTGCGCGTGAATGAAATTAGCCGCAACTAGAGTCAGTCTTTGTTGCTTGCAAGCAGAAACCCTTGTTAGTACAACTACTGGCCAGGCGCGGTGACTCACGCCTGTAATCCCAGCACCTTGGGAGGCCGAGGCGGGAGGATAACCTGAGGTCAGGAGTTGGAGACCAGCCCGGCCAACATGCTGAAACCCCGTCTCTACTAAAAATACAAAAATTAGCAGGGCGTGGTGGCGCACTCCTGTAATCCCAGTTACTCGGGAGGAGGCTGAGACAGGAGAATTGCTTGAACCCGGGAGGTGGAGGTTGCAGTGAGCTGAATCATGCCACTACACTCCAGCCTGGGTGACAAAGCAAACTCCGTTTCGAAAAATAAAAAATTAGTACAACTATTAAGGGCCAGGCCTTGTGCTAGAGCCTCAGATTCCCTCTTCCTTTAGACTTTACAAGAATCTTCATGGAGTATATATTATTTCCATTTGGAGAAACTGAAGCTGTAGCAGGGTAAAGTCACTCAGCGAGTAAAAGGTCAAACTAGGGTTTGAACCCAAATCTGGCTGCCTTGAGGGACTGGGCTCGTGTTTTGCTGTATTATGGAAATTTTAAAATATATACAAAAGAGAAAATAGTACTATGATCACCCAGATACCCATTACACCGCGCCAACGAATCAACATTTTGTCAATCTTGTTTCATCTATTCCCCTTTATATTTTTTGCAGGAATATTTAAAAGCAAATCTAAGACATCAGACCATCTCACCTATAAAGACATCAGTATTAGGGGTTCCGCTCTTAACTACTTTGCATCTCCTGCAGAGTCGCCTTGAGAGAGTTACAAAGCTAGGAATGACCTAGAGTACACTACAGCATGGTAAATGCCAAAAGAGAGATAAATAAAATGGGGATATCAGAAAGGTGACATTTAGTGGAATTTTAAAATGTAAGTATGGACTTTTGTGACAAAATGAAAAGGATTATCAATTTCACAGGACTTCTCTCTTATGTACCTCAGTCTTCATTCATTTTCTACCTGGGAAACCTGCTTTTCTTTTTTTTTTTGTTTTTTGTCTTTTCCCCATGTTTTACCCTTTGGGTTAGTTTTCCTTAGGCCCTATTTGTTTTTCTTATAGGAGTTCTTTTTATGAAAGGCACTTGTAGCAGAAACTGCTTCTCATACTATCCATTCTCCATGCATTACTTTAATAAGAGTGCTCCTGTGATCTAGCTGGGTACGTGGCCACCCAGCGAAAGGCTGCAATAGCCAGCCTCCCTTACAACAAGGTGTAGCGCCATGACTAAGGTCTGGAATGTATGGGTTGTTCCCTCCATGCCCTCTTCTTTCTTACCTAAATAAAGATCTACATTTCCCAACCCCCACTGCAGCAAGGGTGCTTACCAAGATTTGGTTACTAAGTTTTGGCCAATGGGCCATAAACACAAGTGACATAGACAACTTTTGCGTTATGCCTTTAAAGGGAAAGGCATGCCTTCCACTTGCCCTTCTCCTCTTTCCAGTTTGCCAGAATGTGGACACAACAGTGGAGGTAAAGTTGTCATCTCAGATGATAAGAAGGAAGTTAGGTGATCCAGGAGGCAAAACAATATACCAGGAGCCTTGAGGTGCCTGATTCTGTGGAGCTGCCATGTCAACCCTGGAACGCTTTGTTCCAATTGTTATGCAAGCAAGTAAAATACTGTATCTTGTTAAGTTACTGTGTGGTGTTTGTTTTGCCTTTGTTACAGCAGCTACATGTATATCCTAAATGATAGAGCACTGATATTTATCTTTGCCTTTTCCATTTAAAGTTATAGATTGTGGGCCAGGCACGGTGGCTCATGCCTGTAATCCCAGCACTTTGGGAAGCCGAGGCGGGCGGATCACGAGGTCAGGAGATCGAGACCATCCTGGCTAACACGGTGAAACTCCGTCTCTGCTAAAAATACAAAAAAAATTAGCCGGGCGTGGTGGCCAGTGCCTGTAGTCCCAGCTACTCAAGAGACTGAGGCAGGAGAATGGTGTGAACCCGGGAGGCAGAGCTTGCAGTGAGCCAAGATCACGCCACTGCACTCCAGCCTCGGCGACAAAGTGAAACTCCGTCTCAAAAAAGATAAATAAAAAATTTTAAAAATTAAAAAATAAAAATAAAGTTATAGATTCTGGCCGGGCGCAGTGGCTCATGCCGGTAATCCCAACAGTTTGGGAGGCCAAGGCGGGCCTCCCAAACCTAAGCATATAAGTATGTGGCAAGCATTCCTTCTCAAAGAATTCAACAGTGGAGGACACCCAGGGCAGTGACTGGCAAACTTTCTCTAAAGGGACATATTTTCAGGCTTGGAGCACCACAGACATCTGTTGCATGTTTGTTCTTTAGCAACTCTTTAATCATGTAAAAAAAAAAAAAAAGAACATTGTAGTTTTACAGGCCTTATAAAAACAGAGGACTGGCCAGATTTGGCCAAGGGTTACTCTGCTCTGGAGTAACATTACACTAAGTGTAACCCCGGAAACAGTGCCAATCTGCCAACTCTCTGTGATAATTCTGTGATTAGATAAGAACATCTATCTTCTGACTATTTCTTAGGGCTATAATAAGAGAAATGCTACTCTCATTTTCTGTAGTTATTCCAGCAGGGACCAATAACCAACACTTTGAGGTTTGCTACTGGCCTGCAGAAATACTTTGCATCATGCTGCCGTCGAAGACGTGTCGTGTTTTATGGGCATCCACCATCACCTGAAAACCTTTCTCATTTTGGGAAATTTCCCATGTGATAAGTTCTTCCAAAGACAGGGCCAGAAACTTGCTTTGTCCTCCTTACTTGGAGTTTGGGTGCAGGTAGCTGACCTAGCTGCACTCGTAGCTGTGTCTGAAAGAAGAGCAGTGTGGTGAAGCAGTTGCTACACAGAATCCATTTCCTAGTGAGGGTAGCAATGGAGGCTTCCAGCTGTTAGGAGCACCAGTGACAGAGGTTCTGGCATCAAGTACCCACTGCAGTGTCCATGCCAAGCCCTGATGACAGTGAGGTCTTTGCTGTGGGCTTGGAGGAGCAATGGGGTATTTTTTCCTGGCTGTGTAACTTACAGATTGATTCTTAGGCCCTTTAAAGATCTTGTGCATTAATGTTCTTAATTTATTTATTTTTGAGACAGGGTCTTGCTCTGTCACCCATGCTGGAGTGCAGTGGCACGATCTCAGCTCACCGTACCCTCAACCTTCTGGACTCAAGTGATCCTCCCACCTCAGATCCCCAAGTAGCTGGGACTACAGGCATGCACCAACATGCCTAATTTTTGTAATTTTTGTAGAGACAGGTTTCGCCATGTTGGCCAGGCTGGTCTCGAACTCCTGGACTCAAGCAATCCACTGGCTCAGCCTCCCAAAGTACTGGCATTACAGGCACGAGCCACCACACCCAGCCGAGTGAATATTCTTTAATAAATTCCATTCATATTGGCCGGGCGCGGTGGCTCACACCTGTAATACCAGCACTTTGGGAGGCCAAGACGGGCGGATCACAAGGTCAGGAGATCAAGACTATCCTGGCTGACATGGTGAAACCCCGTCTCTACTAAAATACAAAAAAAATTAGCCAGGCATGGTGGCGGGCGCCTGTAGTCCCAGCTACTCGGGAGGCTGAGGCAGGAGAACAGCATGAACCCGAGAGGCGGAGCTTGTAGTGAGCCGAGATCACGCCACTGTTCTCCAGCCTGGGCAACAGAGCAAGACTCCGTCTCAAAAAAAAAAAACACAAAAACAAACAAAAAAAACAAATAAATTCCATTCATATTTAAACTAGCTAGATTCCTCTTGTTTGCTGATACATATGCCTACAAATGAATATTAGCTTGCTACCCTAAATTATAAATGGTAGGCCGGGCGCGGTGGCTCAAGCCTGTAATCCCAGCACTTTGGGAGGCCGAGACGGGTGGATCACGAGGTCAGGAGATCGAGACCATCCTGGCTAACACAGTGAAACCCCGTCTCTACTAAAAAATACAAAAAAACTAGCCGGGCAAGGTGGCGGGCGCCTGTAGTCCCAGCTACTCGGGAGGCTGAGGCAGGAGAATGGCGTGAACCCGGGAGGCGGAGCTTGCAGTGAGCTGAGATCCGGCCACTGCACTCCAGCAAGGGGGACAGAGTGAGACTCCGTCTCAAAAAAAAAAAAAAAAAAATTATAAATGGTAAACATATATTATTACAAATTACCAGAGAGCTCTCTTCATTCAATAATAATTTGTTAGGCCAGGTGCAGTGGCTCACACCTGTAATCCCAGCACTTGGGAGGCGGAGGCGGGTAGATCACCTGAGGTCAGGAGTTCCAGACCAGCCTGACCAACATGGAGAAACCCTGTCTCTACTAAAAATACAAAATTAGCAGGGCATGGTGGCGCATGCCTGTAATCCCAGCTACTCGGGAGGGTGGGGCAGGAGAATCACTTGAACTCAGGAGGCAGAGGTTGTGGTGACCAGAGATCGCACGTTGCACTCCAGCTGGGCAACAAAAGCAAAACTCTGTCTCAAAAAAAAAAAAAAAAAAAGAATTTATTGAGTTCTTTTGTTGCAGTTAGTGTGATAGAAATACAAAAGTGTGGTCCCGTTTCTCCAAGAGTTTAAAATGTATCCTAAGAGTCCGAAGTAGCATCCTGAAAACAAATTGTAAGCATCAAGTTGTGCACCACTCTACGCAAGCCCGCTTCTAAACAGCCCATGGAACACCTGCCATGCCCATAACTTTTTCTCAGTATAGCAGCCACAGGAGATGCCTTAAGCTTTAAGTAGCCATTCTTTGTGTCAAGTAACCTTCGCATTCTGGCAACAATTTATTGGCCCAAGAATTTGAACGGAACAATCATGGAAGATCTTGGGGAAATTCTTGAATATGGTTGAGTCCCCTGGCATCTCTGTGTAACATTTCTTCTCACAGGAACAAATCAGTAGTAGTTTATGAACCCTGATCTTAAGCAAAATATGCCAAGATTCCCCTAACTCATATCTGCATTGAGAGAACAAGTAACATGTGTAAATACTGTTATTTAGGAACGTTTATCATTAATCTACACTTACTAGAAAGAGTAAGCAAGCAAAAGGATAAACTTGATTGTTTGTATCCTAAAAGATTAAAAGAGCTACAAATAATCTATTTCTGGCTCAGATGAAAAGGAGGAGTAGGCTGGGCATGGTGGCTCACACCTGTAATCCCAGCACTTTGGAAGTCCAAGGCAGGCAGATCACCTGAGGTCAGGAGTTTGAGAGCAGCCTGGCCAACATGGTGAAAACCCATCTCTACTGAAAATACCAAAATTAGCCAGGTATAGTGACACATGCCTATAATCCCAGCTACTCGGGAGTCTGAGGCACAAGAATCACCTGAACCTGGGAGCCTGGGAGGCAGAGGTTACAGTGAGCCTAGATCGTGCCACTGCACTCCAGCCTTGGTGACAGAGTGAGACTCTTGTCTCAAAAAAAAAAAAAAAAAAGCCAGGTGCAGTGGCTTATGCCTGTAATCCCAGCACTTTGGGAGGCCACAGCGGGTGGGTCACCTGAGGTCAGGAGTTCAAGACCAGCCTAGCCAACATGGTGAAACCCCGTTTCTACTAAAATACAAAAATTAGCCAGGCATGATGGCAGGTGCCTGTAATCCCAGCTACTCAGGAGGCTGAGACGGGAGAATCGCTTGAACCCGGGAGATGGTGGTTGCAGTGAGCCGAGATCATGCCACTGCACTCCAGGCTGGGCAGCTGAGCGAGACTCAGTCTCAAAAATAAATAAATAAATGAAGGAGGAGTAGACAAAATACTAATTATTAATGTTTATTGAATGCTTACTCTATTCCAGAAACTGGCCATTCTAAGTGACCTGAATATATTCTTAATCCTCACAGTTCTATAAGATGGATACTATTATTATCTCCTCTTACAGATGAGCTGGTTAAACAATTTGCTGAAGGTAAACAGCTAGTAAGTGACAGGGCGGCCGGGCGCGGTGGCTCAAGCCTGTAATCCCAGCACTTTGGGAGGCCGAGACAGGCGGATCACGAGGTCAGGAGATCGAGACCATCCTGGCTAACACGGTGAAACCCCGTCTCTACTAAAAATACAAAAAAAATTAGCCAGGCGAGGTGGCGGGCGCCTGTAAGTGACAGGGCAGGGATAATGAACCTAGACAGTGGGCGTTCAGAGCACATATACTCCACTATGCTAAACCACCTCTCTTCAGGTGGCTGCAATTGCAGCTTTTAATATTTTTTCTCAAAAGAAAAAAATTTAAAAAAAGACGAGGTTAGAATGGAAAAGTGTCAGGAATTAATGGACCTCATTGGTAGGAACACAGTTATTACATTATTCTAAGTTTCTCTGTATATTTCAATCACAATATTAACACAATTTAAGTAAAAATAAAAATTATGCTATTTAGCAGAAACAAAGTAATCAGTATGTACCTATGAGTCAGGGAAGACTTTTACAGAATAGGAGACACTTGTGCTGGATCTTAAAAAGTAGTCAAAAGATAGGCCAGGTGAGGTGGCTCACACCTGTAATCCCAGTACTTTGGGAGGTCGAGGTGGGAGGACCCCGTGAGCCCAAAAGTTCTAGACCAGACTTGGTAACAAAAGGAGACCCCTTGTCTCTACAAATAAAAAATTTAGCCAAGCATGATGGTATGCACCTGTAGTCCCAGCGACTTGAGAGGTTGAGATGGGAGGATCACTT